CATGGTTCAACAAATCATCTTCGATGTACCCCGACTCCCCTTGCAGTGGTTTGGCTGGATTCCAGTAGGCACGAGCAGGTGGTGCAGAAAGCAAAGGCGTGGAACCCTAGCCGGATCTCATCCGAAGAATTTCTGCATTTACACTACAGTAATTGCGTTTGCTGAGCTCCAATCTAATTTAGAACACTTCGGCCACTGACTCGGCTATATATACTCCCGAAAACTAACGTGGACCCTGAGCGGCACCCTCAAAGATTGTTTTCCTCCAAAAACAGTGGTTTCCAGGGTCTATGTTATGCTTCAGTGGGGCAACTCGATCCATGTTTTGGTGATCATCGGCCAGTGTGGGGACCCCGAAGCACAGAATCCATCCATTCTCACCCCAGCCCCTCCCTAGCACCCAATCCATTCCAGCACCTGGGCCTCCTGGGTCGCCGCCTCTGTGCCGCTGTGATTTGCGTGGCAGGCGCAGCATTTGGAATCAACCAACTATAACCACCCACCACCACCACCACCAACCACCAACCCACCCACCCACCCACCCGCCCACCCACCCACCCACCAACCAACCAACCAACCCAACCGCGCATTGCTGTCACAGTGCCGGTGCTGGGTGCTGGGCGGCGGGTGCCGGAGCTGTGAGCTGGCTGTGCACTTGGTGGAGACAGGGTGCCGGTGCCGGTGCTGGGTTGCCGGCGCCGGTGCTGAGTCCTGGCTGCGCGCGTGGTGGAGACAGGGTGTCGGGCGCCGGCTGCTGTGAGCTGGCTGTGCACGTGGTGGCCGGCGCTGGGCGCTGGTGCTGGTGCTGTGAGCTGGCTCTTCACGTGGTGGGGACATGGCGCCGGTGCTGGGTGCCGGGTGCTGGTGCTGGTGCTGGTGCTGTGAGCTGGCTGGAGACAGGGTGCTCGCTTCTGGCGCTGGTGTTGCGAGCCTGCGCAAAGCATCGCATATGTTTCACTGCCTAGTGCTTCTATACAGTAGACCCTTTGCCAAGGAGGTCCTGGTCGTTCCGAGGTTCGAGGTCGAGCTCTGACCCTCCACACGCCGAGGATTGATAGAATGCGCCATGACCAGGTGTCCCTAAAAATCCCAAACACACGCTCAGGAGGTGATTCACCACGTTCCAGCCCTCCCTTCCACCAGCCCAAGCACAGGCCTCACTCGTAGTGCATGGTTGTCACGAAAGCTAGCCTTAGCTAGCTGGAGTTGCTCTTGCTTTAGCAAGTTAAGTGACGGGGTGGACGCACCTCAGAAACCTCAAATAATTGATTAAATCAATCTTATGGACCCCCCCCCCCCCCCGCGGTTCGACTCCCCCCTGCGCGCGGTGAGCGGGACCACCAAGCAGCTGCAGCACACCAAGCATCTGCAGTCTACCACCAAGCAGCAGCAGCAGCAGCAGCAGACGACCCGGCGCCAGCAGAGCACCCAGCGCAGCAGCGCCCAGCGCAGCAGCGGCAGCAGCAGCAGCAGCACCAGCAGCAGCAGCAGCAGACCACCCAGCGGCAGCAGCAGCAGCAGCATACCAACCAGCGCCGCAGCAGCAGCAGCAGAGCACCCACCGCCGCAGCAGCAGCAGACCACCCAGCGCCAGCAGCAGCAGTAGCAGCAGACGACCCGGCCCGGCTAGCTTTCGTTCACCCCCTCTGGCCTCAAGTTTTCCTTCGCGATGCCATAGCTACGCATTCCCTGAAGCAAGATGTTTGGCCATCCTTGGGTATCCAAATAGTTTATTGGTAGCATTTGAAAGAAAGTTTCAGTACCAGCGCCCCTGATGGCTCCCCAAGTGAAACATATCATGAATCAGTCGCCAAGAAGATGATCGGGTGGTGAGAGTGGATTTGTCAGGGGTGGCTGGCTGCGGGGGCGCTTGGCGTCGTGGGGGCTTTGTGGCGGTGGCCTCCCGCCTGGTGGCAATGGCCTCCGGCCCTCTCAGCCTGCCTGGCATCATGGGAACATATCCCAGGCCAGGCCATCTTGTTCTCAGTGTTGCCACTTCTTTTGAAAAATTGCTATGAGCCATATCTGAAGGCGGCACGGTTTTGGGGTGATGCAGCCCTCAGCCTCCCAAACTGATGTGGCTTTTGGTCATGTCAACGTTTTACGTCAAACTCCGCAAGGATGAGGAATATCAGGACCCGTTTGCAGGAAATGCCTTTTTTCCAATGGTTTTTTGGCATTTGATCTGATTCCTGCGCCTCACGCTCATTCCTTCAGGTCTGGACATTCGCTATTTGAGGCGATGGCCATGACACAGGCCGTGCTTAGGCTTGGTCCAGGGCCTGAGTCCCGGCACAAGTCCGGTTGACTCGGCTGGCCAAGGGAACACTTGGCGTCACAGGCCATCTGCTCTAATCTGGCAACAATTTCAAGAAGTTTCACCTCAACAGCAAAAAGACAGTTTGGAAGCGGACAGTTGAGAACGGAATATCAGGATCCGTTTGAGCCACCATGACACTATATGAGCCACAGATCCACACCCATTTGTGTGTGCAGTCGACGGCCAATGTGCAGCCACAGTAGCGGATGAAGCGGGCCACAGCGGAGATTGATTGTAAAGCTGAGGTACAAGGATTATATAAACGCTTTTTGCAAATTTGAGGTTACCTCCCGTTCTCCGAAGTTTTCTCGCTTTGTCACTGTTTTTTGGATGTTGTTGGTTTGGCGATTTGCTAGATCTTTGGGTCTTTGGGCGCCCCAAAAAAGGGATGGGATCTGTTTACATACAACAAAGATGCCCGATGCTTCTGGGGACGCAGAGGCACAGCAGCCAATTTCAGCAACAGGCCACTCGCCCCAGTTCTGTGATCATTACGACGTGTTGAGAGTATACTTACTTTACCCTGTCCCAGTAGCATCACAGACCAGTCTAGATGTAGATGTGACATGTGGCTTTCCTGCCTGCTATGGTTGTACCCGATTCAAATGACCAACAGCAAGTCACACATCCGCGGATGCGAGTCCTGACCCAGGTGTTTATGAAAAGGGTATGAAAAGGGTATGACAAGGGCATGAAAAGGGTATGACCAGGATACGAAAAGGGTTTCATACGCTTTTCTTGCCCTTTTCATATCCCCTTCATACCCTTGCCTGCCCTTTTCATATCCTTTTCATACCCTTGTCATACCCTTGTCACACCTGCGCCATACCCTTTTCATACCCTTTTCACACCCTTTTCACACCCTTTTCACACCCTTTTCATACCCTTTTCACACCCTTTTCATCACCTTTTCATCCCCTTGTCATAACCTTGCCATACCCTTTTCATGCCCGATTGATACCCCTCCAACCTATATAATAGGGATGGCCTGCCCCCAACCAAATTGCATGGCTTTCCTACCTAAGAGCGATGGACTCCACCCTAGATGGCCTCCAACCTCTTTCTCATACCCTTTCCACACTCTTTTCATACCCTTTTCTTGCCCTTTTCGTATCCTTTTCATACGCTTACCATGCCCTTTTCACCCGTTCTATTTCCTTTTCATACCCTTTACATGCCCTTTTCATGCCCTTGTCATATCCTTCTTTTCGTACCCTTTTCATGCCCTTTTCATACCCTTTCCATGCCCTTTGCATATCCTCTTCATACCCTTTTCACACCCTTTTCATACACGTTTCATGCCCTTTTCATACCCTTTTCACAAAGCCATTTTCATACTCTTTTCGTAGTTTTTTGATACCCCCTCCAACCTTTTCACGATTGAATCGGGCATGAAAAGAGTATGAGATGGGTATGAGAAGCGTATGCAAAGGGTATGAAATATGTATGAAAGGGCAGGAACAGGGCATTCAAAAGGGCATGAAAACGGTGTGAAATTGCGCTGGTCGAATGGGGCTATTCAGGGACGCATCTTTCGGGTTTCTGGTTTTGGAGCCATCGCTACTCAACGGGCTGCTCTCCGTCTCCACAGCCCACTCGCCCATACTCGCCGGTGAGAGGTTGCATGACGCAAAAAATGAAAACGCAGCCCACCCCTGCGGCTGAGGTGAGAAATATACTAATTTCACCTCTATTTTGTTATGCAACCTCCCACCTCTATATTTCTCTAGGTTGCACGTAGACGACAGATCTGACAACCACTCACCTCCAGAAGGCGCATCTCCAGGCTGTGGAGGAGGCCAAGGAGGTGCCGAGAACGGGGGCGCCGAAGGGTCTCAGGATGGATGAGGATGTGGTTTGGGGTGAGGAGAGTAGAGCGCCTGCGAATCACATCTTCACAGGCTGATGCGCAATCCGCAGACGTTTTGGGGGGGCAATGGGGCAGTCCCATGGAGAGTTTGGGTATTTTCAGAGGCACAGACTCTACGTATACGTACGTGATCCATCACCTGCGCACTCCACCACCATTCAGATGCACGCACGCATGTACATACACGCAGACACAATGAGACAAACCACCAATTTCCAACCAACAGCCACCAACCAACAACCACCAGCGCCATCAACTTCTTCTAACCAACAACCACCAACCAACAACCACCAGCCCCACCAACGCTCGCTCACTCTCTTCCTTCCTCGAACCCCTCTTTTCTCACTGCGCTGCTGCTTCTTCTTGCTACAGAGGTGGTCTCTGGTAAAGTTGTTAACATGTGGGGTTACCCGGTCCTATAATAGTTGACTTGCGAACGTGTAGCAGAAGGAAGCATTCCTTCAAGCTTCCTGTCGCCACTGCACGGCTTTGTTCGATTCCACCGCCGGTTAAACAAGGACCATCCGCGTCCATCCGCGGTGTGTGGAAAAGACCGGTCAGCAGGTATAGAAAAATATATGGAAACATAATGCAAAATGACAACACCAACGTTTCGAACATTCGAAGAGGGGCTGTGGTGGCTTCACCTTGGAGCTTCACATATGCAACAGTTTCAGCTGCTGCTTGTTCATCATTTTGGGAGGCTATTAGATTTAGTTCCTGCTTCCAAAGCATGCATCACATCCCCAAAAGGGCTCTCCCGGTGCCGCTTTGTTTTGGAGTCACCATCCTGACTGAGTGCCTGCTGAGGCAATATGAGCACCGGCTCAGTGGTGCTTTTGCCGCCGCCCAGCTACTTGTCCTCCGATGGCAGTTTCTTGCAGCTGAGCCTCTCCAACTTGAGTGATCGAGAATGGCCGGAAGGCCGTCCTGAGCGGCGGACGCGACGGCAGCGACATAGGGAAGTGAAGTTCCAGATGATTCTCTCTTCCGGGCAGGGAAGACGAGGTGGGGGGCCAGATTCAATGGTCAAAACTCCCGACGACTGTGATCCCCTCGAGGCTCAGATCGCTCAGTTTGGGTACGTTCGCGTGGTGGGGATTGCCCTGAGGGATTTTTCTTGTCGGATGTGCAATGGAGCCACTTAAGGAGGCTAAGAATCATGTTTATTTAAGGAAGTGGTCTGCCAAATCGAATTTTTGTAGGAAGGTAGGTGATCAATCCCGCCACACAGGTGTTTGGTCCACGCACACTTCGAAGAAATGGCCAAACCCATCCCTGGTGACTGGGATCGAGATCGGTTTGGGCATGTCGATGGGGTTTCCTGAAAAGCAAGTCGTGCCTTTCATGGCCCATGTCAGGGCAAGATGGGTATGTCATCCTTAGAAGATGGGTATGCCATCCTCAGCCGATTCGGAATGGCTCCAGGGCACCTGGCCCCATGGCAAGCCGACGACTTCAGCCTCCCCGGAGGCGAACGGCCGGGCTACAACGTGTACCTCACCGCCGACGACCGTGCCTGGCCAGCCACGCCCTGGGCGGTGGCCGACAGTTGGATCTTCGAGCACGACTGCAGTCGGACGCCGGACTATACGCAGCTGGAGCCTCTGCTTGGACCAAAGGGAAAGGTGATGAAAAGGGGGTGGGGAAAGGGGTTGGGAAGGATGGGGAAAAAAGACACCGCCGAAACGGACGACAAGTGTCGGAGCATGGGTGGTGCCTAGTGCTTCCAAGTATGTGTTAGAAAGCCTTGAGCAAAGACTACGCATGGCCAGTCAGCTGGTGGTTCCTCAGCCATTTGGCCATTTTTGATTGAAACACCTTCAAACACACCAGGCGTTCATAACGGAGGATCCACTATTTTAAGACGTCGTTTAAGGTTTGAAATACCGGATCTGCTTCAATTCGCGCAATTCGCAGTCAATTCATCGATGCCAAATGGCAAAAAGCCACGAATCTGCCAACCAGTAGCGATCCTGTGGTTCTCTTCCGGTGGTCCTGTGGGTTCGCGGGGTCTCTCTATTGCCCAGGACGGCAATGGTGATCCCGCCATTGTGGACCAGAGCTACAACTTTGTTTATGCGATGCTCGGCGTGAACATGGACAACGGGTGCCGTGCTGTGTGTTCGGTCTAAAATTGGCACGGCAAGTTGCTGCAAGATCGATGGAGTGACCGGAGTGGAGTGACCAGTGCATCAGTCTACCTACCGCTACGCAGGCGGTTCACCTGGCGGAGTTTTTTTTTTCGTCGTCGCTTGTTGTTGGCTTATCAAGCAGTCTCGTTGGAGATGTCTCGGTTTTTTGTTTGTTTGCTTCTTTTTCTGTGCCCAGCTTAGATGACTGGCGCAAAGGCTATAGGATATCATAGGATACCTTCGACAGCACAACCCCTTCAAGACAGACCACTTCTCAAATCATCCACCTTCACTTCCACGAGTCCATAGGTTTTCTCATGCTTTCTCTCTCACACCAACCACCAGCACTGCTAACCCAAGAACCCCCACGTCGTCACCAGCACCCGCCTCGACGCCCCGACGTGCGCCTCCATGACGTCTCGACCCAAATCTACCCAGACGCTCCTGGACCATATGCAGGGGTCTGACATGGTCGGACCCTCATATGGAGGGGTTTGGACCCTCAAAACCCTATGGTTTTGAGGGACCCCAAGGGCTGTGAACGGAGCGTCTGGGTAGTACACACGTTCGTAGACGCTCCGTTCGTAGAACGATGCCCCGCGTCGCCGTCGTCGTCGCCGTTCCGTTCCGTCGTTTGAGGCGCGTGAGCTTGAGCACCGCCACGGGGCTCGGCTACTGGTCCGACGCGGCGACCTTCTACTGCTCGCCCTTGCCCGCGCAGCCGGCCCTCGAGGTGCGCGCGTGCGGCAGGAAGCAAGGGGGAAAGGGAGTGGAGGCCAAAGGGGCGAACCATGGGCGGTTTGGAGACCCAGTGACACGTGTGGACACAGTTGGCATGACCAGGGACCATTTTTCATGGGACATGACGTGTGAAGTGTGAGGTGATGGGAGGTGTGGAGTGTGGGTGGTGTTCCATGCTTTGGACTCTCCCAGCAACATGGAGATCTTGCAAAATACATCTACTGTCGTCTACTGTGATCCTCACCTATTCTCCAGACCATATTCAGATACCAAACGCCCGAACAAGGGTCAAGGGACCGACATGAGGACTCGTTGCATCCGGTGTTTTAGCCTATTTATTGGAGCTTTCCAGGACCTAGTTCTATATACAACCTCCAGTTGCTACAACATGATCAACTAAGAGGTTGACATGATAGCAACCTGGCGATCTTGGGGCAGAAATGACCGGGTCCAACTGCAGCCTTTTACCCGATAGCAACCACCGTTTCTCGTGGTGGCGGGGTCTTCGCTGTGCCGCCTCCGTCACCGAGGTCTTGAACTCCGATGCGGAGCAGATCACGCTGCAGTGGCCGAACCCCGAGTTGTATGGAGCACCCTTGGTGGGCTACAACATCTACATGGACAATGGCATGGGTGGTGAGCTCACCTTCTACAAGCACGTGTCGGCACAGGAGGCGCGTGCGGAAGAATGCCTGGTGCTGCCCGCACGGGGGGAACGTGCTAGAATTGGTGTTTGAGGAACGGAGAAGCCAGTGACAGCATGGTTGGCTTGCTAGAATTTTGAGCAAGGTCGCTTTAGGCTACATTCTCAAACAATCTGGTGTTGCGGAGTTGATGAGAGCCTGCTTCCCTCAAACCGACTTATAATGCCAGGTACGGCTTACCCAGTCATCTCCTTGTTACCTCTCAAGTGCTTTGTAGCCTGTGCGAAAGAAAGGGTCATTCAGACATTCAACCACTGTTGTCTTGTGATGGGAAAACATGTTAGTTTGGCTATGGTTTGCGTATCCCTAGGGCTCCAAGTACCTCCTCAGAAGGTATTTGGACCCTCCTGGCACCCACCCCAAGCACCTTTGAAACGAAGGTGCGACTGGAGCCCAAACGGGTATGCTATGTGTCCGAATTAAAAGAAAGGCAACCGCGCGGACTTGGTGGTGTCCCTTCGGTGTTTCAGGTTGACTCGCGATCGGTGGTAAGAGATGCCATCGCATGCACAGTGATCATGAAGATCCATGGAACAGTTGTTTGGTCAACCTAGAAAAAGGTATGAGAATAGTTAGGTAATTACACCAGCTTGCTTCTTTGCAGACCTGAAACAAGAACATGAACCGACACATCCTCGCACCCAACGGATGGATCCCCCGACACATCACATGTCCCCTCGCCTGTTTCGCACAGCGCGGTCAAGCAGCGTACCCGCGAAGCGTTGACCGCACTGACTGCGCGTGCGCGGTGTGTTCAGGTGGCCCTCGACGAGACCAACAACACGGTGATGCTCTCCCTCCACCCGCTGCCCACTGGGCGATGGTTCCGGGTGAATGTGACCGTCGCCACCGAGGCGGGGGCGGTTTTTAGAACTAAGTAGAGGATCGATCTGGACCTAATGTAGACTCTTGATTAATCACCCGCCCATTTGAAGTGGAAAATCCCCTTCATATCCTTTCATATGGGGGGTTTATTCATCAAGAGTCTACATGACCTGTGACGACGGATCATCAAGAGGTGACCTGGGGTCTGGGAAGACTTAAAACTGCTGTTGCACTTGCAATAGACAGGTGTCACATTGTTGTTGAGGATCCGATTGCAGGCAAGCACAAGTAAAAACCTCGGGTCGGTGAATGTTGCATAGTTTGTTCGCTTTCAAATTGATGCTCAAAGTTTGCTGAATCGTTTTAGAGGGTAGTTGGTACTTCCGTGTATTTTCCACCCTGGCTTGTTGCTTTGTTCTTTGCTCGTCGTAGATCCATCATCTTGCCCCTCCAAGACTTTGCAGTTTTTGCAGAGCCCTGAGACACCGACCGATTTCAATGGTCACAGGGCCCTCGAGTGCCCTTGCCAGCTTAAGGCCACGACCCAACAAGAACACACAGATCGACACACACTCACACACACCATCACACACACACACATCCTTAAAAAGAAAAACTAAAAACATGTTCACAAGATGTGAAGATGTGTGTCCCAAAAACCATTGTCCCAAAAACCATTGTCCCTAGACCGACCGGTCCAGCTCCACCATGGCTCCGCCGCGACGCCCAGGCGGGCGAGTCGCCGGGGCAGCAGGTGGACGCCTTGACCTGCGACGCGCCGCCCACGCCGGAGGTGGGATCCGGTTGAGCAGGAGCGAGAGCGGAGGAGGAGGAGGAGTGGAGTTGGGTTTGTCTCGTTCTGTTCCCTATAGTAGTTGATGGGTATATAAATGTAGTTTTCTGGCATGGGGGGAAGATGCTAGAGTTTTTCCGGGTTGCGGAAGCAAATCCAAGGTAGGGTGATGGATGGTGACGGAAAGAGATTGAAAGGTCTGAGAAAAAAGCCCTGATGAGATGATACCTTCTGAAAGAGAACATCTAGGACACTCTGAGGTGGCTAAGGACTTCGCAAGAAAATGTGGGCTTTACATTGGAATTCAACGGTACTGGGCTTTCTTTTGAAGACACCCCCCCCAAATGAAGAACGAGAGGTCATCCAAGGCAGGTGAGGACTGCGCCACTTCTAATCAATTTGATCTATTTGAGGAGCACTGAGCACTATGTCACTGCCTCTGGTCTGTCTTTATTGGTTTGTCCCTTTTATTGCATCTTCTTTTTGCCAGAGGCCTGTAGAAGGCCACAGAAGGCCATGCCAAACCCAAAGCTCCAAACACCGTAAGGGGTGGGCCTCCCCCAGAGCCACTTGCAATATTCAATATCTCACTGCCGCCTTTGTGGTGGTGCGGATGTGAAGTTTGTATGCAAAAATCGCAACCACACCCTGGGCTGATCCAATCCACGTACTTTGTTTCTCTGAAGACAGAAAGGCCACGCATTTGGGACCCTGCGCCCACCGGGAGACAACCACCAGCACTCGCTGACCGGCGATGGAGCCGAACCCCCAAATCAGGGGAGGCCGAGTGAACCAGCGAAAAGGGGGGTGGAAAAGCCCAACTCATCCTCTTTCGGCAACGCCGAAAGAGTCAGTGGGAATCCTCCAAGCTTTGGGAAGTTCGGTGGGCAAGTCGGTTGGGAATCCTGCAACGAACGAGGCTGGTCTCGGCACGTTCGTTCCGGTCTCAGCACGTTCCGAGCGGAGCTCGAGCGACCGCCACGCCAGGTGCTGAGGCTGTCCACGTCCACGTCTTTGATTTTGAGGCGCTGCCGGCTGCCAGACCGGGCTGGCGCACCCACGTGGCCAGACCTGGTGGACTCAAGTTGACTCCAAGTCTACTCACCCTAGCCTTCCAAGACCTTTAAAAGAAAGGCTGACCTGTTGTTGTGTAAATTCGTGAAACACAGGTTGTTCGGTCAAAACCTTTTTTGAAACAATGGTTGTTGGAAGCCTACTGTACTCAACTCAAATCCCTACGGGTGTGCGAAGCTTCGGAACTTCGAGTTTTCCGCAACAAAAAACGAACGGGAGGGATCGCATGAGCTGTGCCTGTGCTGGATAGCTGCGTCCGCATGAAGCTTTATGAAGTGTTCTCTTTTAAAGTGTTCTGGAACTCAATGAATAGTAAGAGCTGTAAGGAATCGTCTCTTTGGTTTGGATGTTGATGGAATCTCAGGTTTGTTTAGGTGGCAACATGCTTGGCCTGGTCAGTTTCCCGTCGATGCGGGTGCGCAGCGGCAAGAGTGCGGCCTTGTTTCCCGTCCAAACACCAGAAAGCATACAGATTCATGAGATGTAGGAATAGAGGAATTTGATGAGTTTCAATAAAAAAAGGCATAGGGAGATTAGAAATAGATCCTAATGTGAAACAGAGCATGGCCAACAAAGAGGCCCATGCACCTATTAAAGAATTACTATAATTTGTTGTCGTGATCTGAAGTTTCTCGTGGAGTGTTTGGTGTTTAAACCAACTGCCACGAACGGGTTTGGAGTTGGTGTGTTCTGCAACCAGACCGAAAACCACTGCAACGAACACCAAAAGAACTGTCCCTGGCTTCCACCGCGAGCCTGGTCTTCTCCACTTCGGTACCACGTCGGCCGCAGGTGGAATGCCAGCGTGGGCAGCCCTGTTTGTGCGGTGCATGGCTACGAAGTGATCTCTGAAGTTCTGAACAGCAGCAGCGAAGTGAACGCAAGCCTGGTCCTACTGAGCCTTGCCCGCGAATAGAATAGACCGCACGGGTTCACCGGCGAACAATGAGTAACTAGGTTCCTACAGTAGGACCTTGTAAACATTTGCAATTGATCATACAAGTGATCCGGAAATAAAAACAGCTGATAAAGACTCTATAGTATAGGATCAAAGTGCCATTTTCTCGAACAAAAGTGGTGATCCCATTTCCGGTGCCACCGGAAAGGGCGAGTCTCCGACACGGTCGCGTGCCGCACGGCCCCGGTCACGCCACGTTCGGCGCCCAAGTGCTTCGATTGGGACTGCAGTCGGTAAGCAATGACAGGGATGGAAAGGCCTGCAACCATGCAGGCCCCATCATCCACTGAGGCCCAGGGAATAGGATATAGGATAGACCCCCATCGAAGATTCACGATCTTTCTAGCATCAGAGCCATCAAACCTGGGCTGGGACAGCAGCAATTGACCGGCATAGCGGTGACCAAACCACGCGTGAAATAGATTCGTTTTGGGGCATGGTTTTCTTTGGTGTTTCGTGGGTCTTCTTCATTCGGTTCCACCAAGTGGGGAGGTTCCACCTAATTGGTGGTGTTTCAGTGTCAGACCACTGCAAGGAAGATCTCGATTGGTAGTTTGTTGATGTGGGATCTGGTGGGAAGTTGGTGAGTACGTCGTTCTGAGTGGGTCAAAGCCTCGTCTTTTGTGTGTTCACTTTACGCCCCTTTCACTCGGCCACGATGGCGCCGAGTTTCTCGCGCCGTCAGGAGCTACAGTGGCCTGGCGCCAAATGACCTGGAGTATCAAGTCGACAACTTGATCTCCGAGGTGTGGAATCCCAAGATGGTGATGGAACCAGGGGATGTCAGAGGTTGTCAGCTGGCTTTTCTGCAAGAGTCCAAGAGAGATCCCAAATTGATCTCAAATTTTGTAGTACCAACTCCAAACAACCAGCCCCTCATTCTGAACTTCTTTTCCTAATCAGTAGACCTTAGAATGCATAAGCGCGGCACAACTTTGCAGGATCCATGCATTGAAAGATCCAGAAACAGCCATTGGTAACCTCCCCTCATGTTCAAATGCATCCACAAGACTGCACGTTTTGCCCTGGGTTCCCTTCTACCTGGCCATCCGATTAACCTTCAGGCATTCGACCCACACCTTATGTTCAATGGCCACTGCGACTCCTTCAAAAGCTGTGATGTGCACCTTTCAGAAACACTTTTGGGGAACCCTTCATTGTCGGGGGACGCAGCTGAGAATTTCTTGTAGAACCCACTGTACAACATCGGAACCGAACACAAACCCCTCTGAAACCACGTGGGCGGCCATTCGCTGGTCGTCACTCCAGCTCAGGCGGAGTATCGCTTCCGCGTGGTGGCCTCGGTGGCCTATGGCACGAGCGCCAGTGGCTGGGCAGTGGCCACAGCGGCAGGGGTGCCAGAGAAGATGGAACCCGTGAGGCACCTTTTGAGCCTTGGTTTCCTTCAGTTTCCTTATGCTTGGACAAAGGCTGGGTGGAGGGAGGAGGTGACCTTCAGTTATTTCATACAATCTCTTGAGTCTTGCACTTTGGGATGCTGTGCTGCGAAGATCAAGAGACTGGGGCTAGGATAAATCGTCTCATTCACTCTTGTATCTTCCGGGCCATTTCCAGCCACCCCAAGCGGACGGACCGCTGCAGCCTGGGGCGCTTTGCGCCCCAGCGGCGCGAGCGGACCGCTCGGTTGGAACCCGCACCCACGAAAGCCCAGACTGGTCTGCGAAGTCAATGGACGCCCATGAGAGTGGCCATGGACACTCCCCAAATTCACCACATACCAGAAGTTGGTGGTCAGAAGAGATTGATCAACTTTTGGTGCACCTCCTTGGTTTTATCAAACCAAGAGAATACCAAGAAATGCTTCCCAATCCCAAGCAGAACAACAAAAATCACATTGGTGTTCGACTTCTTCCTCGTTTGCGTTGAATTCCCCCAGGAACCTCTCCTTCTCCAGTGCCATCTACCTGGAATGGACTCCGCCCAACATGAATGGTGGCACCCCCGTCGGCTACGCGCTCCGGCGCGACGATGGACCGGGCACCGCCTGGCGCGACATGGATTGCATGGCAGTGGACTGCAGCAGCGGCTGCGAGCTGCATTCCGTGCATCGGGTGCCAGGCACGTCACTCCCGTCACTTGCGCAAGGACGCTGGGACGGAGCTAGGACCCTAGGAGCAAGGACGCTAGGACGGAGGAGCGTCTTCAATCTTGCGCAAGGACCCTAGGCCCTAGGAGTAGCCTTCCGTGCCTGGCAGACGGGAGTTTTCTGGCTGAGCGGCTGAGCCGAGCAAGACGTGGGAGTTGGAGCTGTAGATGTCATGGAAAAAGGCCCTTAACCATCAGCACTGTCGCAGTGGTGATGGGATCAAATCAAGCTATGATGAGCTTAATCACGGCTTGGTTTGATCCCATCACCACTGTGTCACGGCCCAATCATAGCTTGATTTGATCCCATGGTACTGTGATGTGCTATGATGGGGCCATCAAGCTACCAATGTCACAGCTTGGTTTCGTAGCACTTTGTTTGTTTTGCGGGGCGAAGAGTTTTGCAGCGCCCCCTCACTGATCATGATTTAAAGATCCACGTCACTTCTGGAAAGCTAGTCACAAAACATGGCAATTCATTTCCTTGGTCTTTTGTTCAGGATGTTTAAGGCAGGCACATAACTTGTACCAACAAGAAAAAACACTGGAGTGCGTGTCAAGATTACGCCAATACCAACCTCTGCCATTGTTTTCATTGTTCAGGATTTTGTACCCAGTGTTCAAAGTGATGCTACACACATGGAATCTCAAACAGCATAGATTTCTAACATCTGATGAAAAGACGTCTCGTGCGTGCGCGCGCGGGTGCCGGCGCGGTTGTGTGTGTGTGTGTGCGCGTGCACCAACCATTTAAAGAGCTTATTGGCCCACTTCGTGACCTCAGATTCTGGGCCTCGAGTGTGAGAACACACAGAAACCAATTGAGGAATTGGTCTGGGTTTCAAGGTGCAAGATTGGTGTCCAACGTTTGAAGATTGAGACAGTTGTGTTCTTTATGCGTTATATTAGATATTTGTTCAAGAAATGTCTCAACATTTTGGACATGTCCAGCTTTCGCTTAGTCTCGCACGTTTCAACACCCATGAACGCACGTCAGTTCTGGGCAATATGATCAGTACAACACATGGAAAAGGACAACACTGCCATAGTTTGCCACACACCGTGGCCACAGACCCTTTTTCCTGCGCACCACACCTTATTTCACCTGGCGCATTTGTGTCGCTTGTGAACATACTGTCAAGGAGCAACAAAAGGGTCAATGCATTAGTTGATCCTAGACGTCCTAAGTGACGTCCTATCCACAGGGTCAATTTCCTGGTCAGGTTTCCAGTCCCCGTTGTTCATGTGCCTCCGTTTGGCGCAATGTTTTGCTTTGTTTCCTGTATAGGGCTTTTCATTTCAGCTGGTCAGTAACCTATTCTACACAAACTCCAAGAGACCAGTCAGTGGATAGCCTTCGACCCTGTTTGGGAATTGGGGACACCCCACGGAACATTGTTTACTTTGTTTTGCACTAGACCCAGGGAATCAGTCGTAGCGCGACCAATATGTCTAAACCATTCACCCAAACTTCAAGATAGCCAAACCTGGTTGGTGAATTCAAAGACGTGTTCAACCTTTCCCTGGAATCCTTCGTCCCAAGTCTCCTCATATCCTCATTTCAGCTCTGTCCAGTCTTCACCCACCCGAAACTGCGTGTCTAATAAAGGTCTAGAGGTGTAGAAGCAGAAGGTCTAGAGATCTAGACGCACTGGGCTCCAGAGAGAGGTGATGGTGCTGATGATGGTGATGGTGATGATGATGGGATTTCTCATCTCAAACATATTGTTTGTGACCATACACCTTTATTGCCGAACCAGCCGGCCCTCCAAGTGCTTTCAGACGGCTCGAGTTCTCTTCTTCGCTGCTGGGTCAGGAACCTGGTGAAGACAGGTTGAAGGAGGCAGGGGTCCACATCAAATGACATAATGTGGACCCTACCCTAGCTTTGTCCATCAGAGCCTGGATCTTTGTGTCGGGCTCTTGCTTTTCTTTTTGCATCCCGGCGACTCCCGCCGCCCGCCGCCTCACACACCATTAACTCACACAACTCAACTCACACTTAGAGGCTCTGCTGTATCTTAGCGGCTGTGCCTGCGCCTCTCTTAGCGGCTGTGCTGTGGCTCTCGGTCCAAGAGCCCCTCGTTTTACCACACTGAACGAGCAAGGCAAACAAACCGAAGAAGACCAGCCCTGAAGACCATACCCTGCAGTCCCTAGCCAAGCCGCAGGCGCCACAGGTTGCTACGTCTCGGGTCTGCAGCCCGACGGCCTCTACCGCTTCGCGATCCGCGCGGTGAACGCCTACGGCGCTGGGCCGCTCAGTGAGGAGGCGCTGGTCACGGTGGGCGCGCTGCCGAACGTGCGGGCGCCGCAGCTGGTGAAGGCAAGCTATGAGAACTGCACGATGATATGGGAGTGTCTTGGATTTACGGGTTAACAGGATTGATCGTGTATGAAAGTGACTGGAAAGAGATATCTTGCTATATTGTATATATTATATATATATATACATATATTTATAGTAGTGTGTAAACAGGGTGAGAATAGTTAACTTGTTTTCAGTTCAGTAGAAGAGACTGTTAAGGAGTTGTTTTTTTCACGAAAGGTCATTTCAGAAGATGCCCTGGCTCACTTTGTTTTTAGCGTACACGCCACCAAAACACCGCTGTAAGGGCACCAAGACACCACTAAAATACCACCAAAAGAATACTAAAGCAGCGCCCAGCGACCAGCAAGAGCACCACCACAACACTGCCACAACATCACCCCCACCAAACACTACTAAACCATTGCCAATCCATCAATAAAATCCAGCACACCACCGTCACCAGAACAGCAACTTCCCCGGTTTCCCTACCTCATACTTTGGTCCTGTGGCATCTACCAACATGGCTGGATCTTTCCTCAACATCAATGCTTTAGCAAGTCCAAGGACACAAGGCCAAGAAACAAAGACACCAAGGAAGAATTACACCAGCATAGACAGCATAGATAGACCCCAGATAGCAAAAATAGCAAAAACATGCAAAATATATTTCTGGAACTGTTTTTCACTCGAAACACGCCCATGGAGGGAACATGTGCAAAGAGCGCGTGCCATCTATGGGATGCTGCATTTCGACTCAAAAACATGGTTTGTGAACCGGACGCTTCAAGCATAGATCTGATTGAAACCGTATTGACCCACCTCTATCACCAAGACCGACTCTTCAGGGCGATACGCCACTTCCTGCCCCGATAGCTAAAAGGAATGCCCAGCAAAATCATTGCGAAGCAATCGTATCCAACGAAACAAGTGAACTTTTCCCCCACTGGCGCCGTGCAAGGCTGGCAGCCTGCAAGATCTTTCCTTGCAAGAACCACTCATCATAGCTAGAGAGAAAGGGTGTTTGCCACAAAAAAAGCTTAACAATTTATATGTAAGAGAAAACGATTCTGTAAAAACGCAGGCTAAAAAAAAAGGTGCGTAGGAGAACCCCTATTTTAATCAAAACCAAAGCCTGCTAACCCAGGATGCCAAAAGCCTACCCAGCACCAGCAGCACTGGCAACCCAGCCAGCATGACACACTTTCAAACAGCGGCATACCTTCGACATCCGCTTCCAAAACAACACTTTGTCAAACTCTAAAATTACATCATCTTCAGGCGCTGAGGCATAGCTCCACCAACCACATGAACAGCTTTGGAATGAGAGCGTGCGCAGCCATGTTGGCTCCAAAGTCAACTGCCCCGCAGTTCGCCAGCTGCCTCCACCACGCGCACAGCCAGCTCACAGCACCCAGCACCAGCACCACAGCCAGCACCACAGCCAGCACCAGCACCCGGCACCTGCACCCAGCACCGGCACCCTGTTTCGAAAGCGCGCACAGCCAGCTCATTGTTATTTGAAGTAAGAACCCTTTTTGCAAGGAATATATGTGCCATCAACATGGTTCAATTCAATCCATGATAGTTATCCCTTCTGAGGACTATATAGGATGAAAGGCTGAGTGGTTGCAAATGGCGGCTTTTTTGATGCCATGTCAACCAGCCTTGAATACCTTCCCAGACCATGAGAATAATAGAACCCTTAAAGCCACCACCCACCACACCTGCCACCTTCCCCCCACCTGTCCCCAACTTTGTCCTTGTTACACCTCCCTTACGCCTTACGTGGCAAGCGGCTTCCATCTCGATTGATTTTGCTGTGTCATGATGCTGTGCGGGTTTATGTACGTAGTCCGCATGACCTTTTCACTGTGGGTCTCGGTTTGCATGGCTGTTTAGGTTCGGTTCCGTTCGGTTCGCACATGTTGCGATATTTTGTTCGATATATATTGCTGACATGTATTGGGATCGGTTCGGTTGGGGTTCGGTTCGTATGATGTATTGAACATGTTTTCGGTTTTTCAACGGTGGCAGAGACACATATTTAGAAAAAACTTTTCGGACCTTGGAAAGTTTTTTTGTAATGCAATTTCTTTGTTTGAATCGTAGTTTCGGGCACAAGCTAGCCACGTGCGAAAAAGACGCCACGTGCGAAGGCTACGCGATTGCTCTTGTGACCACAGACCTGTGGCAAGGGCCAGGGCCATGACCATCAATTCTTGGCTGAGCCCAATGAGACTGGTTAAACTCGGTTGCTATAGATACCCTTCATGCCTTCTCTCTTTCCTCATACATAACTCCCCTTCCTCAGGTGACTCAAATGTTGGTGCCCAAGCCTGGCGCAGGTGCGCCCCATTGGCATTTGAAGTTTGGCCATGGCAAACTGTTCGCGCTGTTCCGCCTCCTTGGGAACCTGCCACAACTCCTGAGCCAGAGCAGGGTTTCATGCACAGGCACTTTCACGCTTATCCCCTGGAGTCGTTGTTGAGATGTTCATGCGGGAAGGATTCGGAGTGTGGATGAACATCGAATTCTAGGCAGCTTAGCCTGGTGATGTTTCACTGGAAGACATTGGCTTGCTGAACTGCGCCCTTAATCTCCAATTTTCGAGCTTGAAGAGGTGGGTTGTGACAAGTCTGCCTTGCAATCAGGTTACCCTCCCATCCAGCGCCCATCCACAAACATACCAAGCTTCGGCCTGCCTTCCCCTGAATGCCCAATCCGTGGGGGTTTCGCTTTCCACAGTGAGTCGCTACAGTCCTCAAGGCAGTTCAGGGAGACTATGATTTCCGCACAGTAGCCTGGCAAGACGAGGCCGGGGGCCGCGGCCTGAATGGACAACATGATTTTGGTCAGGCGGGTAGTGTGGAGAAGGTTTGAGAGTCCGACAAGACATGCTGGTGAACAGGTGAGTGCTGATATGTGCTGATGATGAAAGCACGCAGCAACTGTTTGTGTTCTCCGCTTGGATGTTCCTGCGATACACGCCGAGAGATGTCGGTTCGTTGGAGCATGTTGGAGCCCAAAAGTGAGATTGAAGACGCGTTGGCTGGGAATTCCCACAAGGGGGGGTGACGTGAACGCGAAGCCAGCTCCCGGCGGGCGTTCAGCCTAAGAGGTTACACACGTCAGGGCAAAGGTGGTAAATTGTAAATCATTGTAAATCAGTACATCGGTAAAATCTGTAAATTTAGCGTTTTTACCCTTTTACTGCGTGCTGTCGTGTCCTAGGGTGCATCAAAAACAGCAAAGGCTGGCTCACATGCTGTTCGTTTCACATCGGCGCGTAGATTCGCAAAAATGCAAACAAAGCACAAAAATCAACTTGATTCAGGGCCTGCGCATTGTCAAGCCAAGCCTAAAGCTTGATGAAGTTTGCGCACCTTCTCACCTTCTCGAAGAGAAGATGCGGGTTTTAGATCTTACAGTAACATATCTTAACTTAACCAAAGACGGGCAGACTCTTGCTTTGAACAGCTTTCGCTCTAGGGTGGACGACTCAAGATTGGCTCGCATTGCTTTTTTTCCGTCATGTGAGACTTTTCTCACTCCATGAGTTTGGCTGACCTTCGGAAAATCGCTAACTTTCGTAAAATTACCGTCTTTTTTCAGTTTTACTGTTTTTCCCGTTTCTCTGTTTTACTCCTCGCTTCTGTCACCTGCAGATTTTCGCGTTTTACCGTTTTACCATTTTACCCCACGCTTGTGCGCGCTCGACATTTTGCCATTTTACTGTTTTGCTGTTTTACCGGGGGCCTCTGCAACGGGAACTCCGTAACCAGAAGATACACCGCGATCCAGCACAGCGTGACCAAGGCATGTTTTTTACCCCGAACGTAGTGGTGTGTAGTGGTGGATTCCGACTTCCAGGTGGGGCAAAACCATGAGTCCAAAACGGTCAACGGCCAAGGTCTGGTGCATCATAATCCAGGTGGAAGCTTCAGGGTCCAATCTTCTTCCGTTACGGGGCCCCATGGCGACGACCTCTGCGACCTTTTGGCCAGTCAAGGACGCCGAGGGGATGATTTGATGCAAAGATCTAGTGTTGGTTCACGGCCCCGACTATTTGACAGTCGATGCGTTGGTTCAATGTCGTGCACAGAATGTTGGATTGCCTAATAACACCTACCTCCGCCAGCCTGTGCTCGGGAAAATCACACCTCAAAGTGGAAGGTTAACTACTCACCAGGGGAGGGTAACAATAGGGTAACATATCACAAAGACCCCCAAAGAGATAGAAAAGTAGATCCCACTAATAGTCATCTAATAATTAACGCTGTTTTGGGAACCGATTCTATCTATTGGGGACCGCTACATTGATGTCCTAAGCAGGGCGACCCGAAGCTTAGTTAGATCAACTGTCCCACGGTCACATGCGCTGAACTGACGACCACCCCACAGGTCGAAGAATGGCATTGCCGAAGGGCAATGGAATCAAACTGACCCTGTCAGTTTAGCCCTAGCTGCAATCGTCCCAATAGGAACATGATCCGACAATAGTTTATCAAAAAGACACCGACCCAGAAATCAGAAGCCGTTTCGAGAGATTTCGAAGACTCTTCTAGCACTGCAACCTGGGGCATGACTGTCACATCAAAGATCTCTGCATCTTGAGACAGCTTCTCTCGAAGAAGCCAAGATGCAAAAAATATGCCCCCGAGTCATTTGTCCAAACCAAACGAAACAAGTGAACGTTGGCAACACCGCCATCCACCCACCCATTGCGGTGCCGCCTAATCTGGCTGCCCACTTCAGGCGCTGAAGCGAAAGCGCCAAAATTCACGGGATCTGATTTGTTTGAACCGACTTGTCACCCTCATTTCATTCTTGGAAATGATCCACATCAGTCCGTTTCGCGCAGCGGCTTCGTCAGCCTGTCTGAGACTCCAGGCGAGATGCTGGTGGAAGCCGGAGTGGGATGTCACTTGAGTCGTCGTTGAGATGGGTGTATTTGAATAAGGAGACACCCCACCAATGGGTGGTCTATGGTTTTGTGCAGGGCGTCTCAATTTGGGAGGTCTCCGTATTTTAATGCTCACCCATACTGGGTGAAAGGGGTGGGTGTGTGGATGGGCGATGTTCTGTATTTTTATCAAAGGAAGTTTAGTGTACGAAACTTCCGTGTTACGGACATTCAAGAACTGTTCATACACCACTTATCAAGACATCACTCATCATACACCACTCATCAAGACACCACTTACACCACTCATCATACACCACTCATCTTACACCACTCATCATACACGCACATCATACACTACTCAACAATACACCACTCATCTTACACCACTCATCATATTCATCATACACCACTCATCATACACCACTCATCTTACACCACTCATCACACACCACTCATCACACACCACTCATCATACACCACTCATCATGCACCACTCATCATACACCACTCATCATACACCACTCATCATACACCA